TCAGTTGTGTCCAACTCTTGATCTCGGCTCAGGTCTCTGTATCAGGATTGTGAGTTCAAGCCCTGCATTGGGCTCCACCCTGGGCATGGAGGTTACTTTAAAAAAAAAAAAGTAAAAATAATTTTGAGAGTCCATAGGCTCCACCAGACTGCCAAAAGGTACCATGACACAAAAAATTAAGAACTCCTTTCCAAAAAAGATGAGTGCAATGGCAGAGTTACTGAAATGCATGTACAGTTCTCATCATTTCTACTCTGAAGATATTCATGGGGATATAAAATGCTTGGATATTATTTCACTTTCTAGTGTATGACCTTGGTCAATTATTTACACTCTGTGCCTCACCTCTAACTATATTGGGGATAAATAAATAATAGTATCTTCCCCATAGGCTATTGTGAAAATTAATTCATTCAAGGATGCTTAGTACAGTAATTATTATCCACATTACATCTTTAATGTGAAAACAAATTTAGAAATTCCCTCTCATTTTTTTTTTCTTTTTTTAACCCAGCCAAATGACTCCTGTCCAACTAAAACCAAGGAGGCTTGCTAAACTGAGAGGAGTAAATGTGGGTCATGAGACCTTAGGATGGGCAGTTTTTTGGATGGTAGTGATCATACAGGCCAGACAATTAAATAGAGCCAAGTGTTGCCCTGGAGTCAGACCAATCCAGATTTCCTTGTGACTCTGACATGTATACATTGTGATTTTTTTTTTTTTTAAAGATTTTATTTATTTATTCATGAGAGATAGAGAGAGAGAGGCAGAGACAGAGGGAGAAGCAGACTCCTCGCGGAGCAGGGAGCCCAATGCGGGACTCGATTCTAGGACCCTGGGATCATGACCTGAGCTGAAGGCAGACGCCTAACCAACTGAGCCACCCAGGCGTCCCATACATTGTGATTTTTGACAAGTTAATTTCTTAGAGCTTTAGTTTCCTTATCTGTAAAATAAAAATAAGAATAACTTCCAGAGTTGTCTTAAGAGTTAAATGAGAAGATGTAGGTGAAGACATAGGTTCATAGACATAGACACATAGAATAAAACTCTATAAATATTAACAGGCTTCCACTTCCCTCAACCCTCGGAATCTGTGGACTTCCATCCTACATATTTAGTCAAAGATTCACAGTAAATTTCATTGGAAAAAAAATCAGCTCTCCTAATGGACAGCTTTTTTCTACTTTACAGACAAAGCTCTCAAAGGCCATACAGAAGAGGATCTACTTGCAGTGCCTGCCCCAGTGATGACAAATGTTTGGACAACCTCTGCAGTGAGTAAAAGGAAAAATCTACCAATAATACAATGTGTTTGAAACAACTTTCTCTGCAGAGTTCAGAATGCAAATGTTTGCTTTACCCTAATAGCTATTTTCAGGGAAGCTGGAGTCAAGTAGCAATCAAGCCGATGGCTTACTGTCCTGGGAATGAACATATATTCAAGGTAAATTTAAGGAAGCAAATAAGAACCTTCTTTTTTTAGCTCTAATCAGTACAACAAAAAATGACTATGAGGATAGAAACTGTAGACCCAAGATTTGCTCATTTCAGCAAGATCAAAAAAACTCCTGATTTGTAAACACTGATTTCTCATCTTCACTTCAGGTACAGCCACACTTTTTTGATCAGTTCTCTGAGCGGTCATTTCTCCCCTAGTTCGACCATTCACTTCACTCACAGCAGTTTTGTTAAAGCAACTCAGTAACATGTAGCAACAAATCTCTTCTCGTAGCATCAATGTATTAACTGAATTTTTCATGTTGCTACAATACTACAAAGCGTATTATTTTTTTTTTTCCCCAAGTTAGGCAGTATAACATAGGAGTTAAAACCACACATTTTTGAAACGGTATGCCCGGGTTCAATTTCCAGTTCCACCACTGTGACCTTGGGCAACTGTCTGAACCAAGTTCCTCAACAATAAAATGTAGATGCCCCCCCCATCTTCTTCTTCTTTTTTTAAACAAAGAATGTATTGTTTCAGAGGCACAGGTCTGATTCATCGGTCTTAACACAACTCACAGCACTCACCATAGCACATACCCTCCCCACTGTCTTATCACCCAGCCACCCCATGCCTCCCACCCCCCTCCACTCCAGCAACCCTCAGTGTTTCCTGAGATTAAGAATTCCTCATATCAATGAGGTCATATGATACATGTCTTTCTCTGATTGACTTATTTTGCTCAGCATAACACCCTCCAGTTCCATCCACGTTGTTGCAAACGGCAAGATTTTGGTTTTTTGATGGCTGCATAATATTCCATTGAGGGGGAAATTGGAGGGGGAGACGAACCATGAGAGACTATGGACTCTGAGAAACAGAGGGTTCTAGAGGGGGGGGGGGGATGAGTTAGCCTGGTGATGGGTATTAAGGAGGGCACGTATTGAATGGAGCACTGGGTGTTATACGCAAACAATGAATCATGGAACACTACATCAAAAACTAATGATGTAATGTATGGTGATTAACATAATAAAATTAAAAAAAATTAAAAATAAAAAATATTAAAAAACAAAACCAAAAAAAATAAAATGTAGATGGCAGTATCTCTTCACAGGTTTGATGAAACAGATCAAGGAAAAGAGAAAGAAGTATCTATATTTGGAACAAGAACCTGGCATACAGTAGCACTCAATAAATACTACCTATTATCCATAAATTCATCCTTCCTGTACTCCCAAATGTTGAGTTTACTCTTGGTGTTTTATGCCCAAACTCTGTCACGTTTTTATGCCCACGAACAAACCTCATATTTCTTCTTTAAAATCTGTGGTGAAAACTGAGACAATTATTTTAAATTATTTAAGGAGTAATTCAATTATTGCCACTGGTTAGCTATCTTTCCCAATGGATTCTAAATTCCAAACAGGTAGGAATTATGCCTAATTCATTTATACCCTAGTCTGGCAAATAAGCACTAATTTGAAGGCATGTTTCCTTCAAAAAAATATTCCTTCTCTTTAAAAATCTAGATAATTAGTAATAACTTCACAATGACAAGAAGAAAGTTCCTGGAATTTTAGCTTTTGACCTTGGGAACTACCTTGAAATGCCCTCTAGTCTTGCGGGATAAAAATTCAGAAAATGAAGGCTGTGATCCAATAAAAGCCCCTGGGCCCTTAAGAAACATAAAGCGCAAACATGCTAATGTGCATGAGGGTAAAGAGCTTTTAACAGATTCCATCTCTGACAAATTATGACAAATATTGGAGGAAAAAAATTCTTTCTGGTGCTTTAGGTACTTACTGTTGGCAGGTTCAATAAATACCCACGGAGGCCAAATCAGGATGGTTTTGCATAATGTGCTGGGTATGCGAATGATACATGGGATGATTTTAGCTAGTGCATGAATGTACATTTGTTTCAATATTCAAGAGTTGAATATTTAACATTTAAAAAATGTATATGTAAGAAAAAATGTAACTAACACAGCACATCCTTGATTTCATGGCATTAACTGCCCAAAACAGTTAAAGTAGCAGCAGCTTCCTGGTAACTCCCTACAAAGCCCCCTCACAGGGATGATGATCAGGGATGCTCACCAGCACCCTGGCCACGTCGTTGCTGGGCTGAGCCACAGATTTCAACACCAGCTGGCAAAGAACTGGTGTAGAGAAGGTACCTATTTAATTAGAAAAGTATCAAGAAGGCTAAGGCAGATTGTTCTGAATGTCAAAATCCGAATAAAGCTCAGTGAAAAGAGAGGGATAATTATGACATTATGCAAACCAAATCCCTGTAAGAGAGAGGTCATGGTCTCTTTATTACTGACTGATCATAAAACAGTATCATTTTTCTCAGGGAGGAACTTATTTCCAGGAAATATTTTAATAAATTGCTCACATTGACTATTACTAATAATTATTTTTATTCTTAAATTCTAATAGTTTGTTATTTTAATTGTATTTATTATCTGCTAGTTATGGTATGTAAAATTATTTTCCACTTATAGTAATAGTATATAAAAAGTTTATAAGGTCAATCTAAAAATAACAAGTTAGTATAGTTAGTACAAAAAATCTTTAATAACTAATGTTTGAAAAACACTAAGAAAGTGAAAGCAACAGTTAATGGTCATAATTAGAGACTTGGCTTTTTAAAATAAAATAAAGCCTCACCAGTACATATTTTTTTTCTTCTTCTGACTTTACAGCTAATCCAAAGCGAGACAAAGTCACAGGTATGTACATAAATCTTTCATTGTTCCATTAAGATCTATGTGAATTGTATTATTGCATTCTGAGAAACAACATTTAAGAGGATATTTTATGTTTGTTTCACAGGTTACTACTCTATGGTGCATCCTGACTGGCCAGTATTTTCACGCAACAGATACCTATCTCTCTTTCTCACTGTTAGTCCACCAATCCTAATACTGAGTGCTATAATGATCATTTGGGTCAAGCACAAATACCCTCATTTAGTTCTTTCAAACTAATATAATCCACAAAAAAACCACAATTCATTCAGATATGTGTTTTTTTAAAAATTAACAGGTGTATTTTTTAATTCTAATTTTAAAACATTTCAGAAAAAAATACGTTGTTGCAGTAAACCCTTAATAAAAAAACTGTTCAACTTCCTATCTCTAGAATAAACTCATTTTTACTTTCCACTTTTCTATGAATAAGCATTGTTTTCAGGCTGCCAAAGCTATGACTTTCAGTAAGTAACCCAGCCTCTGTATGTCTCAGCTTCTAAAACTACAAAATGAATGTGCTCGATTTAGGTGATTCTAGATAACTCCACTGACCCTCATTAGTAAAAACATTTCTACATAACTTGTTGCATGCTGCTTCAATTCTAAACATCTGGTCTCCCCACCCCACCCCACCCCCACCTTGCAATCTGAGGTCTTTGGTTTACCATTTTCCCAGACTCAGTATAGTAATTAAGGGATTTAAGGGACCTTGCTTTTTTTGCTTATGGGTTGTTTAATCTTAAACATAATGTAGAATGAGATTATAAAAAGAAATAAGCCTAAATGTTTACTCGTTAGCAATAGAGAGAGCACTGCAAAATCTGCATTTATTTTGCTCAAAACCAAATGGTGGGACATGATTATATTTAAAGACTAACCAGTGGCATCAAACACTGGATTTGATGGATAATTACAATAGCCACATTCCAAAAATCTTTATATAAACAACCTAAAAATTACATCTAAAATCATGCTTAGGCAAAACATGCCAAAACAGATTAGGTGCAATATATACAAAGACATATGTAGCACTTTCTAGCACAAAGTTTTCCAAAAAACACACAGAGAATACAATAATTTATATTTATAAAGGACAGGTGTTTATATAAACACTGTTTTGAAGAATGACATAAACTCAGAAAAATGTGATCAGAGTATTCCTTCTCACATACAGGCTACTAATGCCCTAGTATCTCAAAATCCTTTACAAAAGGAGATAGCTTAAATGGTTCTCATCCAGGGTTTTTTTTTAATGTTACTTTTTTTTCTTCTTCTTTTTTTCATCTGCTTCCATTTTAAGCTTAACTTCTTCAGCTGAAAGAGCTCCCAGTTTCTTATTCTTGGCTTTCTTAACCTTTTCCTTGATGGCAGCCACATCAATTTTATTTTCAGTAGAAGCT